ATAGTTGTGTAGGGTATAAAAATCATCATTTTTCGAGCAATAATTCTCAACAAATATTGTTTTTATCTAATTTAATATTTATAACGTTTATAAGAAAATATCCAAAATTCCCGATAAACGTCATGCCCGTTATTTTGATACAGTAGATATCGGATATAAGAAACTCAAAAAAAGCCGGAGATTTCTTTCTTATATGCGTTTTTTTCTTATATGAGATGTGCTTATATCTGTTATCTACTGTATCGTTTATAAAGACTTATCGCTTACAGAGACCAAATTCGTTATAAGCGATTCTGACTGTAATTGTTATATATTTTAAAAAATTTTGAATTTCCCTCGTTCCACCCCAAGACACTGGTTGTATGTATGTCAGTGTAGTACCTACCATAAAACAGAAGCCCCATCAACAGTAACCACTTCAAAAAATTGTATCATTCATCGGTATTGAGATCAATTGTTTTGTTACAAAATAATATGGGGAAAATGGGAACACCTTGAAATGCCCAACAAATAAAATAACAAAAACATGTGTAGGATGAATAACCATAAAACACTTGTTGAGGAGGGTTTATTCTTTATATTAATATTTAAATTTCATTAGAAAGGAAAAATATTTTAAATAAAACAAGAAACAACTTCTTTAAGTTCGACCGATCCGATTTTTTTAACTCTCCACCATGTAGGGTGTATTCCAAATTTCAATGACCAGAACTTTTGTAGAGGGGACTTTGCACTGTAAATCGTCTACTAATAGCTTGTTTATTTACATGCCAAATTATAGATATTCGGTTTGGAAAACTAGGCTCCGAACCATTGTATGATGAATTGCATCATATATTGCATTTTTTGGGAAGAAGTTTTATATTCACCAGGAATCTGGAATGCCAAAGTACAGTCAATTCGATGGAAACCCCTCCAAAACACAGAAATCGGGTTCTTTTTTTTGTGAGGACCATGTCAAAACATGGACCTACATCGTAAATTGTCTGCAAAGATGCACTCGACGAGAACCCGAAATGCAAAATTACATCACCGTCAGTGGGGAAAGTCAGCTAAAACCTTACACATATTAAAAATCGAAAGTTGTTTACATGAATGTTTTTCACACTCCAAAAGCCCGGAATACCAACTTACTACCACTTCGATGCATAAACCTTAAAAATACTGAAAATAGAGCATTACTTTTATATTTAAGCTGTGAAGAAACATAGACCTATATTGTTAATTTTCTGCACAAGTGAATATTCGTGTCCAAAAGCCCGGATTACCTTTGGTATGAAAATCTGGCTAATATCGAAAATGAGGTGGGACCTTTATTAAGGAAATATTTCAAAACATGGACCTATTACGAAAATGATCTACAAATATTTGTTTCGCCCTTCAAAGACCCAGAATGTCCATTTACTGTCACTTTGTTGAAATATTTCAATTGAGTACAGACTATGAGGCGGGACCTTTAAACCGGAATTAAGTCAAAATATAGACCTCCATCAAAAATTATGTGAAAAATATGGCTCCCCTCCTCCAAGAACCCGGAATGGGAAATCGACCTATTTTGATAATTTTTTGCATAGATGTATGTCAACCTGCAAAAAACTAGGAATGCGTAATTAAAGACCATTTCGGTTGGTAAAAAACCTTTAAAATCGGGAAACCAAATTCCAAATGCCAAAAATTCTAAAAGTAGAACCAATGTATGGGTAAAAGTTCAAACATTATCTTAAATATTGCCATGTTTATCGATAGGCCGTTTGGATTTTTAAAACCCTCGGACATTTCATTCGCCTTATATTGGACTTGTAAATATTGAAATTTTTGAACATTTGTGGAGGAGGAACCAGAAGGAGTGGACCAATTGGTCTCATCTTCGGACTTGATATAGGCTTAGTAAAGATAATAGCTGGGACAAAGTTTGGTTCAAGTCGGATAGTCCGTTCGCATGATATTATAAAATTAATTTTTGCCACAATTTTGATCATTTTGTGGGGGATGAACCAAAAAGAGTGGACCGATATTTCCCATCTTCGAACTTAAACTAATTTTGGAAGAAATATTCATTCGAGAGTTATCCTGCCTTAAACCAATATTTCGAAAAGGCACATTTTTGCCGTATCATAAAAATTTCAACATGCCGAAAATGTGGGACTATGGAGACACGTGGACTTATATAGAAAATGTTCTGTAAAAAGCAAGATCCCGGAATGCTAAATTACAGCCACTTCGTAATGCTAAAACGGTAACTTCTGTTGGAAATACATTTAAACGGGATGGGTCAAAAATCGACCGATATTTACAATTTTTGGTAGAACGATTTTTCAATCAATGACAACCAAAAATAGCAAAATAAAGTCCATGCTTTTGAAAACCCTGTCTGAAATCCTTAGAATACTCAAAAATAGAGGTATTGCCATATGGGGGTATATCATATTGATAATTTTTGTTAATCACCAAAATACCGAAAAATTGAGTTTTTGGGAATGCAATTTTCGACATAGTAAAAATCCAAAATACTAAAATACGTCCCGAAATGTTTAAAAAACTTGGCAAAATACCGAAAGTTGGGAAGTACCTCTTTATTGGTCCACTTTTAAGGGTAGACCCCCCTTAAAAGTGGACCAATATTGGTAGGAAAATATGCTATGCCAAATTATGTATCAATCGGACAAACATTGACGGTATGGAGCTCTATTTACATACTATATATGAGAGCTATATCTAAATCTGAACTAGTTCCAACAAAACTTCGCATAAATCAATCAGAACCTAATTCAGTACTATGTGCAAAATTTTCTCTCAATCGGACAAATATTGGCAGTATGGTGTTCCATTTACATTAAATCGAACGAAAATATATATGAAAGCTATTTCTAAATCTGAACCGATTTTCTCCAATTTCAATAGGGTTCGTCCTTGGGCCAAATAAGTGAGCTGTGCCAAATTTCATCCAAATCGAATTATAAATTCTACAAAAATACATGGACGGACATGCATAAATCGACTCCGAAAGTGATTCTATGCATATACTCAAAGGACCATGGGTCTATCTTGATATACACAAAGAGATAATATAAAGGGTATAAAAACCGCATGAATGTCCAATATTTAAATGAATTACAGCGTTATATTTGGATGGGTACAAATATACCACGGTCATTGATCTACGTATACTTTGTTTGGTTATTGACCGTAGGGTTAATAAAGTGTCTGAAATCCTCGGAATACAGGAAATTGAGGGTATTGTTATATGGGGACAAATATATACAAGTTTTCAATAATAATAATACTGAATATTTCAAGATATCAAATGGAATGAAAATACTCTCCTTACATTATAGTGGAGGCTATAAAGAAATTCTCTTCTTCTTATTGCAATATTTGTTTTTCCTGGAGGCATTCTGTCTGGGAAAAATCACACAGGCAAATCTGCACATTTCATTTTCCCTCCCCATTGAACTAGTAAATCATTCTATTTATGTATGTGTGTTAGTAGTGTCATAATTATCGTGATGAGAAAAAACAAACAACAAAAAACACACATTACCTATACAGCACATGACTTATGCGTTTATTTACTTGACAGCAAACAGGTTCAGAGCTCACATGCAGCAGCTGACAGTCAGTTAGTCGCAGCAGATGACATCACTGGAATATATATGAGGTATCTCATAGCTCATATATATTTTTATATGTCCACAAATCTTAGACAAAGATAGCTTGCCTCCATTCATAATCTTTAATAATTTATAAACAAAGCAACGACGGACGACGAACACACGTCCATAGATAGCTACGCAAAAAAACAAAAACACACTGAAAACAAACGCCATTTAAATACGCCTTTGAGCTATTTAAACTGAACGGTGTCGTATTATTTTGTATTTTTATTTATTTGCTTATTTTTATTAATGTGATAACAACACTTCCCCTCCAAACCTGTCCACCCTCCACCACTGTCTAGTGGTGTTTTTTGTTTAACTTATATATCGTATTTCCATTTATAGCCTCCTCTTAGATTTCAATGAATTGAATTGAGCAGCAGAATAGAAAAAACGACAGCAGAAACTAATCCGCTAACCTGTTGCTATTTGCCGAACTATCTCAGCTAAGTTGTTGGATAAACAGCAGACATTGCCGCCAATCATCGATGACCTTCTTTCGACGAAATATTTAACTGAAGCCTAACAAGTTTAAAGAACCCAAATACACAAAAAATAGTCATGATAGCGGATATTTCTTTAAAGTAGTTAGGCCACTAACAACAACAAAAACAAAATTAGGCAAAACATGGAGGTGTTGTTGACCTTCTCAAGGTAAATGGGGTATTAATTAAGGTAATGGGAATAAAAATTTAGAACATCAATCAAAAATACAAATAAACAATGAAAATGAATTCTTATAAGAGAACCAGTAGATATTCTTATAGAGGATTAGGAGAACTTCGAATAAAAGCCCAGCAAATCTTCATAAATATTTCCAAGGGATATTCTTATTGAAAACCAATAGGTTTTCTTAGAGAAGATCAGATCACCTGATCTTGTGCAAGGTCAGGGCGTTTTCATATGTGGGATTAGAAGGTATTCATGTAGGAAACTAGGAGGTTTGCTTGAGGCACTATTTTATTAATTTTTAAAAATGTCTACAAATAAAAATTAAAAAAAAAATACAAAAAATCTTGCCCATGTAAGTCTATTATGAGAAAAAAATTTCAACTAATTAAATACCAGTTTTTTTAATAAAACACCCAGCAAATAATAAAAAGCGAAATGACTTTTTAATGGTGTTCCGCCATATATGGTGTGGTGTAGTAGTTGTTTTTTTATTATTAGTACTCATACGCCCACCACACAATCGTAATAAAAAATTAAAAAAAAGTCTGTTCATTTTCTAAGACATACGTAACGCCATCAACGTAATAATCACAACAATTTGTTTAGACAATAAATTAGAAATAAAAAAAACAAGAGACAACAAAATCTACAAAAAGTAAAAAAAAAACTTACCTTAACGCCAACACTTCAACACCACGCATACGTTTTATTATGGATACATCACTGAGATCACTTCCCCTGCAAAAACACAAAAAAAAACAAAAACAAGTCAAATAAATTTTTGGTCGTTGTAATAATTAAAAATAATAATGATACACTATACAACTACACACATGCGTACAATGACAGCGACACATAAATTTTGAAAAACAAAATTCATAAATAAAATAACTAACAAGTAAAAATGTCGTTAAGTTCGGCCGGACCAAAGTTTTTATATCTCCCACCATGAGCTGAACAATCAGAAAACCTAAAAAAGTCGACTTTTCAATGTTTGCCTTCGTCGAAAAAATTCGGTTTTTAGACTTTTCGATTTTTGTCTTTGACCAAAGAATCGACTTTTCGATCTTTCGATTTTGTCAGACCTATTCAAAATCGATATTCGCCTTTTACCGACTAAAGCAAACTCGACTAAAAATTTGATTTGTTATATGAATTGTTGTCAACAGATAAAATGAAGTCCTGGAATGCGTAATTTTAGGACAATTTCGGCTTTTGTGGTAACAACCAGGTATTTATGAAGAAAATCGAAAACGTCCTCAAAGATCAAAAGTCGATTTCGAATTTAAGATTTTTCAACACAAAATGTAGATTAATCGATTAGTCGAAAACCGATTTACTTATCCCTATTTAAAACTAGAATAACGTAGTCGGGCGTAAAAGTCGATTTTAAAACTTTTCGATTGTTGCCTTTGTCTAAGAAATCGACTTTTCGATCTTTCGATTTTGTCCGACCTGTTGCAAATCGATATTCGGATTCATATTGCACTTCAAAATATTTGTCGTAAAAATTCAATTTTTTATATGAATACACAATGAATGCGAAAATCGATTTCGGACATATTGCACTTCAAAATTTTGTGGTAACAACCAAGTATTTTGTGTATTTTAAATACATAAAATCTACCGGGACTATTATATGTATTGTAACTATGTTATGTTTAATTTCTGTCAGGACAAAAAATAAAATGAAATAAATGGACCAGGACCCCCAAAATGCCAATGCATGGAGATAGAAAGAAGGACTCAAAAAATATGACCAATTTTCCATATAAAGATCCCGACCATGTTATATATATATATATATATATATATATTGATGGTCCTAGACAGATTCAACCTAACCTGGCAAATCCTTATTAAGAAATGGTCGACAGAAATGCATTCAAGGACTTAGAAACTATTTTGTGACAACTTAAAGGTCCCGATCACTATATATGTTTTGATTATCCTAGGCCGATACGCCCTAAGGGGTTTTGCCTGTAGGATTCATGATTTAAAATACGCCATTTTCGTTTGGACTCATTTTACGAATGAATTTATCATGATAAATTCTTTACCAAACGAATGTTCGCACACACACAACAAACGATGAACGATCGTTCATTTCATTTGGTGATTGAAATTCTTTCTGACATTCGTTCATGAATGAAAACGGGCATTCGCGAATGCTCAAACTTCTACACACATTTATTCTCTGTGTAGCCTACTTTTTTATGATACTTTTGTTTGTTTTTGACAGAGATCGCGAGCATTCGCGAACTTTATTTTTTAGTATTTTTATTAAAGAATGCTCTTCAGAAACGAATGCTCGCGAAAGATCGATTCGACGACGCTTGCAGTGAAAGTCGATCGCTAAACGAATGTTCGCACACACACACACAACAAACGTTGAACTATCGTTCATTTCATTTGGTGATTGCAATTCTTTCTGATATTCGGTAACGAATGAAAACGAGCATTAGCGAAAGCGCAAACTTCTACACACACATTCATTCTCTGTGTAGCCTAGTTTATTATGATATTTTTGTTTGTTTTTAGCAGCGGTCGCGAGCATTCGCGAACATTATTTTTTTGTACTTTTTTTTAAATGAATGCTCTTCAGAAACTAATGCTCGCGAAAGATCGATTCGACGACGCTTGCAGTGAAATTTTATCGTTTATGAATTATTCGTACAATGCGAACATTCGCGAGAGATTGCTTGTTCATTGTAACTTTGCCATTCGCGATAAATTGGAAAAAAAAGAAATTCTCGCCGTGAGCATTCGTAAGAAAGAGCGCATTTTAATCGTTCGCCGCACCCTGGAAAAAAGTTACCTCTGACGATATTTATTCTCTAACTACTGAGGATTTTTTTCCTATAGAAAAAAATCGACTCCTAGTCCACACTGAGGCTTTTTTTATTCAAGGGACAATTCGATTGATTCACCACTAAGATTTTTTTTTTGCTATAGAAAAAAGTCGATCCTTAGTTTCCACTGAGAATTTTTTTCCTATATAAATTCTAACTTGTTTAAGGAAGATCTTCACCGATTGGCTTTATCCTAGTTCATACGATAGCTATACACTCACAGAGAAAAATGCCAAAATTTCAAAGTCCCCTTAAGATCAAATTATATGTGGTTTGATTTTTTTATAAAATGTTCAAAAATCCGTCTCTCTGTGTGTTTGTTCACTGAGGACTTTTTTTTGGTCTTTGACCGATATTCAAACGAAGTAGTACCTAAAACTCTATAGACAAAGAGCAAAACTCATTGCCAAATATTTTTTTCATATATCAATTATTTGAACCTCAATTCCCACTGAGATTTTTTTCCTATAAAAAACCTCCGAATTTGTTCTCAAAAAATAAAATGCAACCTAAATTTCATGGTGTTTTATATGTCCCATCAGATGCTTCAGTAAAAATTAAAATGTGGTTTGTTGCTGAGAATTAACTCTATTTAAACCTACAGTCTCAAGTGCCGATATCCCCCCTGTAAAAATTGAACCTGACAACATTACACTTCTCATCATATTATATAATAACAGTCCTTGGCTAATGTTGCGTAAAACATTTATCATTTCATGTAATTACAATTTGAAGCTGCCCTCCCCTCTCTCTCCTCCCTCAAATATCTTAGGAATTGCAGTAAAAAAAATACAACAAAATTAATTTCAAATGTTCGCGGGGTGTATTTTCTCCCAAACAATTCTCATAACGTCTTTGTGCCGACAAAATGTTTTTTGCAGAAATGACAAGCGGGAATAATAACAACCAGAATACATTTCCAAATATCGGTATGTACGTACGTATGACGTCGAAATGTGTGTAATGCAATGGAAATGGAAATACATCATATTTCATGGTTGGCTGGATGACTGACGGTGACTGCTGGCTGGCTGACTGGTTGGTTAGGCCAAGACTTTTTGCCACTTAACCTCGCTTCTCCAAGCATGACACACTCACTCGTTCGCCCCTCCGCTCAGCCAACCTTTGACTAAAACATCATGAAATTTATGATGTTCTCCCAAGTCAAAGTGGAAACAAAAAATAAGAAAAACTAAAACACAACAACAGCAAGAAAAAGGCCGAATAAAATAAAATTAATGTAACTAAATAACGTTGTTGTGATATTAAAGCGCTCGAACTAACAAAAACATGTCGTGTTTGTCGTTAACTTGTCCTCACGAGAAGAAGAAGAAAAAACCTAAAAAAACAGAAAACCTAAACCTACATTATTTGTAGGGTGTGTGCGTAAGTACGTAACTATTGTCCATAATAATCACGATGATAAAATGAAAGACAGACAGACACCATTCGTGTCTATGGACGACCTGAATTTTAACAAAAAAAAAAAAACTAAACCAAAATAACTCAAAAAACAAAAGAAGAAGGCCTTTCACTCTTCTAATTTTTTGGTTTAGATAAAAAAATATTTTTTTCTTGCTGTTGTTGTTGTGAAATCTAGAGCACCAGGGCTTGATACAAAATTTGAATAACAGATGCCTCAACAAATTGCCATTGCACCACTTACAGAAGAATGAGAAAAATCCAAAGCACACTCAACTTGTTAGGGCAATAGGTTTGGAAGATTTTTTGGAACTTTTTTTTTAATAAAAAACCATTAAACCAATAAAAAATCGAAAATTTTTCTTTCCATTGAGGATTTTTGTGCCTTTAGAAAATATAGAAACCTTGGTGCTTACTGTGAATTTTCTATATAGTAAATAATAGTTCCTAAGATGGATTTATAGAAATAATTCAAATCTCAATACTGACTGAGGTTTTTTATAGAAAACAATTGAAACTCTTTTTTTTAAATTGGCATCAGTTCCTCCGGAGTTTTTCCCATAAAAAAAATTGACACTTAAATCCAAATTAAATTCCTAATGAGGAATTTTTTTAATAGAATTTGAATCTCAATACAGACTGAGGATTTTTTGTAGAAAAAATTCGAAACTCATATTTTTTTAAATTTGACATCAGTTCCCTCCGAAGTTTTTTCTGTAGGAAAAAGTTGGCTGTAAAATCCAACTTATAATTAATTGTTCCCAATTGAAAAAATTAGACTCTCAGGTTCCCACTGAGGATTTTTCCTATAAAAAAAACAGAACAACAGTTATTTTCATAAAAAAATCGAGGAAATTTTCTTATGGAAAAAAATCATACCTCGAAACTCACTGAGGATTTTTATAAAAAAAAATTCTATAAGAAAATTAAAATATCAGTTCTGACTGAGGAAAAACGAAGAAATTTTCCAATAGAAAAAAAATCGAACGTCGACACTCTGAGGATTTTTATAGAAAAAATTCGAACATCAATTCTTGGTGCTTTGCCACGGAGTTTTCTTATAAGAAAATTTGTCCCTCAATTCCAACAAAGAAAAAATATTCCTATAAAAAAATATTGCTATATAAGAAAAAAATCGAAATCGAATAAAAATTCGAAATTCACTTCCAACTGAGGATTTTTTTTTTGAATCTAAGATTCCACCGAAGATTTTTTCTACCGATAAAAATTAATTCCCTCAATTACCACAGAAATTTTTTTCTTTAGAAAAATATTCGAACATCACTGATGATTTTTCTATAGAGAAAAAATAGACCATATGTACAGCGGAGGATTTTTTTCTATAGAAAAACTACGAACTTCAGTTACCAACTGAGGATCTTTTTCTAGAGAAAAAATTTCGATACTCAGTACCAACTGAAGATTTGTTTCCTCATTTCGAGTCTCAATTCACACTGAGTGTTTTTCTACAGAAAAAAATCTAACCTCAATTCCTAGTCAAATATTTTTTATAGAAAATAATACAACCTCTATTCTTCCAACTTAGGATTTTTTTCCTTTAAAAAAATAATTGAACCTCAGTTCGAGATGAGATTGTGTTGCAAAAGAAAAAATGTAAACTTCTGTTCCTCCATATCGAGTTTTTTCCTAAAGAAAAAAATCGAATCTCTATATTAAGAAATTCGAACCTCAGTAATCGCTGAGATATTTTTTTCTTTGAAAAAAATCTAACTTTTGTAACTACCTCAGATATTAGACTGTGAGATTCTTCTATAAAAAAAACCAACATTAGGTTCTACTGAATCATAGAATCAGCAACAGCACATAATCCACATGGCGACAGAAGTCGAATTTATCGTGCAGAATAATCCCAACAACATAAAAAAAACTTTGTTAACAGAAATCCTCCTTCAGGTGGCTTGGTGTGTCACATATGAATAGGTTTTATATTACCGGTCTCAGTACCGATCTCTGAGACACCCATTCTGCCCTAACTTGTCAGACACTTTGTCTTCAACTCTCATTCTATTCTTGAGGAAACTTCCACCACGTGACAAGTTTCAAAAAAAGCTTTGCTGTCATATTGTATGAACGATTTTGGCTTTGCAAGTATTCGAAATCCAAGCTGACAGACACTACAAATTCAGCTTTCTTCAATGATCCGTTTAATACGTCACAGAATGAAATTACCCAGCAATTTCTCATAGGCGATAGTTTTGAAATTGGTCTGTAGCTACCACGTAGAGTAGCACCTGATCCATATTATTGGATTGATACACCTAGTGCTGTGTTTTATTTCCTTGTTTGTATTGGAAAGCAACTGCATCCAGGTTAGACTTTTTTCAGATCTCTCTCCCAAGTCTATGACTAATATGTTTATTGCATTTAATAGAATTAATTACGGAAAACACCGTCTTATCACCAGCCCATAGCGTATCATAAAATATACTAATAATAAATAAAAACACGTTCACTGAAATTTACGGAAGGTAGATATCAATGAAATCGAAAATCTAGGTACACACCAAACAAACAACCACACATCCGACTGTGGTGTTTGTAGACATAAGCGTACGTAACCGGCCGAACGTGATAATCATACCAAATTTGGACCTAAATACAAATAAATAAATAAAAATGAAACGACGAATTGAAAACAAAAATTAAATTTCAAAAAAATATGAGGTAATAATTGATTGATTAATTAACAGATCTTAAATAAAAATTGGGTATTAAATTAATTAGAAAACATTTCTTAACACTGGCCATATTTTAGAGGTGTTTAATTGGGGTTTATAATTCCCGAGAATATAAGATGACTCAGTTTCATGATGAAATATTTAGAGTCTATGGTTATAATTAACTAATTCGTTGCACGGAAATCCCTCATTGGAGTCACTTTGGTGTGAAAGTGTGAAAAAGAGAAGGTCGTATGTAGTATGACGTATGTCGAAAATTTATGCCTAGAGAAATAATTCCAGCAGAGAGTGCATACTCGCTTATTTGATGGGACATGCTTCTTTAGAGTTGGATAATTCCGGTGGAAACTAAGTCAGTGGGAACTATATGTTCGTAATTATCGTCCTGCAATTGAATTCTGTAACTTCGGAATATTTTACTAAATAGAAATTATTTAAAATCAACATTTTTTAATTTTTTCTCAATTTGTCATCCATCAACGAATCTACACGGAACTATGGAAATCCAAATCCAAAGCGTTAGGACCGGACCGAATTTCCATGGGAATTCTTAAGTAACTGGATGAACCTGAAGTGGAGTACTTAACACCAGCCCTCAACTTGTCCTTAGCCACTCACATAGTTCCTGAAGCCTTGAAAGTAGACGAAGACATAGAGAAAATCAACCTCCATCCCGGTTTGAAACGCTGGATAATCAAATATATGTGTGAATCCCAGTCATATGAGGAAGTAGAAGACTAGTAGGATGAAACAGAGAATCCCCAAGGTGAGGTGATATTTCCGGAAATATTCAACTAATACATTACTGATATTGCAACGGATGGGATAGAGTTATTAATGTATGTGGATGATTGTACGATCATGGCGTCGGATCATATTATTTATGACATATATCGGAGGATAAACGTCTTGAGAGTTTCCGCTATCTGAGGTATATGAAAATATCCGCTACAAAATCGATGGAGTGCAGATTCCGATTGTTAACAACCCAAATATATTGCTTGTAACGATCGACAAAATATTCAAGTCGTCAGCGAAAGCCATTGCTATTAGAAATAATTTGAGAGGTAGAAACAAGATCCTCAAGTCGCTGCCCGGCTGCGCTTGGGAAACTGACAGGGATACCTCCTATAAAACAATATGCCGGTCTGACAGCAATTAGGCCGCCAGAATGCCGCCCAGAGAGAAATCTTCAAGAAGAAACGAGGATGATAGCACAATCAAATGGTGTCGATAAATGACCCGCTTGGGCATGTTTAGAGAGATATTCATGATCTAGAGAGATCCGAAGGTACAGGTTTATCAGACGAAGAGACCATCTTCATGAGGAGATGAAGATCATAGCCGCCCATCGGCATAATCCAATGTTGTCGATGCAGTACCTGAGTGGGTGCTATCGTCGGAAACACTACTTAGCCTTATGGCAGGCTTCTTCCTCCCAGGCATATCGAGAGATATTTTCATGATCTAGAGAGATATATTCGAAAAGTTCAATTGTGGACCTCTAAATCTACAGCCTCATCAGACCGGCATGTATAGTATTCATACAGTTGCAGTCCCTTAGACAGAGGAATACGAATGCTATACTCGGTAGCCATCCAATATTGCCAAGAGCAAAAAAGAAGCAGCTGCCTAGACAGATACGAGTAGTCTTAGAACAGAAACCGCCAGAGTTTCACTCGACACGATAACTAACACATGCCAATCATCTGGGCCAGGACCACACGACACGTTGCATCCATGCAAATTGCCAGTTAACCTATTCACCTGTCTCCGAGTTCTCTACGGACGCGGCCCATATTGGTTGTAGACTTCCTGAATTCCGTACAACACATAATGCCAGAGTCATGAACGAAAGAGACCTAACACAATCCTTTAAATAAGAAGGGGACTTGAAAGATCAATTTAACTATCCAATCAACCTAACCAGCAGCCTCTAAATTCTCTATGGCCGAGGCCCATACAGTTTTCAACCTCCCCGAATTTGAACACATAGGAGTCAGAACCGGACAACACCCTTCTCGTATTTCGGTTGCTACAACAATAACCAGCCTGGACTAGTAAAATTGGTATGTGTACGGAATCGGAAGTCATGGACGAAAGTGAGCCTAACTGGACTGGAAAGAACACAAATATGCTATGGTGAGACTCAAATGAAGAACACCCCAAGTAATAGTATTGCTTAGAAATATCACAGAACAACTCATTCTGCAAGCACATTTTCACAAGATAGAGGCATAATATTCGGGATAAAACGGCACGTTGGCAAAAAAAAACTTTGAAGTCAATTCATGGGAATTTGCACTATACTTGGCCTTATCGACATGAGGATGTATGAATAGAAAAGACTAGAGGGTTTTTCTGAGTTTTTCAGTTTTTCGGCGCGCTCAACTGACACCTAGAATAACTTAAGTGAAGGTCCATGTATTTGACGTAAGGTAACAGACCTCAGCTATTCCACCATACTAACTAAATATAGCACCTGAAGCTTACGAAGTATTCGATTCAATTATGACACTTTTTAAATTCAATTTTTCCCCACCACAACTTAGGTCTGTTTACAGCTGTTTCTTGTCTGGGAAATCAATTAACAGCTTCGGTGGAACTTTAATCTTTGTTCTCAAGGGAAAAATGTAAACTATTTTATTGTTGTTTTTTGTTATTTACTTTACAATTTCCTTTGTTGTTATTGTCTTGCAAGCAAATGCAATTATATGCGCCAAAAGCAAAAAAACGACAACAACAAAAGTAAATATTTAACGAAGCGTTAACGAAGTTAACGACTGCATCAACGGTAAATGCATTTCAAACAGGGGACAAAAGATCATCAACGTCATTAACAAATCGGCCAGCCGTGATCTATCTGAGACCGACAATGGACGATAATGCAGTTGGGACACACAAAAGGTGGGCTTGTTGCAACACCACTGTGACCAAGTGAATCTCGCTTTGTGACAAATGATTTGTAATCGGATTCATTGCAACAAAACCCCAACAACAATAGAAATAAATGACAATAAAGAATAGCTGATAACTTACCAACAATTAAGTTTTTTAATAGAGCTTAAATCCGATTGCTTGGATCGTGCAATGACCATCTCTTCCGTGAGGCGTGTCATGATGATGGCGATGGCAATGCGTTAATGGTGTCGTCCAACGACGTGATGTTCGTTGTTTTGGTTGTTGTTGGTGGCGTCGTGATAGTTTGCAGATGATGACGATGATGATGACGACGACGATGTTTTGTTGCGGCTAGCCTGGTGTTGCAATTTCAATTTGTTTGGGGATTTGTATATCTCGTTTTTTTTATTGTTGTTTGTTTTGTTTTGTTAATTTTTTTTTCGAGTAAATTGCGGCAAAGTTCACAGTTCTCTCTTTACACCCGAGTCGGCTGATATAAAATGAAAGAAAACAATAAAATAGAAAAAAATGCCGCTTGGTTCGTTGTTGCGTTGCGACTTAATATTAACACTGGTTTCCCGAACCCAAAGTCGAGATATGAAATAGAAAAAAAATAATAAAACAGAAAAATATTCTGTATTTGCCAACAACAACAACAACAGCAGTAACCACCAACACCATCACTCACTACGACGACTACAGCCACCACCAGCACTTTTTTCCAAGCCTTTTTTGGAGTGCTCACAGCGTTTTGTTGTCGTCGTCGCCGTTCGAGTGGAGGTCACAAAACACCAACGCCAACAGGTTTGACTTGTTCTTTTTGTTATAACAACAACAACAACAATGGCAAAACAATCAAATAAACCTCTCTATGTGCATGTGTACATACGTATCGACATGCTACAAAATGTATAGCTCGGGTCTCGGTGTATGTTGGAGCATATTAAAGAATTATATGTAAGTACATATGTTGCAGACAGACAGACTTGACGTGTGTTTGCAATTACACACACACAAAAAGAGACAAAACTAATAGTTGTAATAAAATAGTACAGTGTGTCACAAAAGTATGGACATTTTTCAACAATTTCTTGATACATAACGATGCCATTAAAAATGCATTGAATATAGATCCATATTTAGACATAAACCCTTATATAAAACTTTTTTCATTTATTCATTTTTTTGTCATTTTCCAAATGATGTGGTTGTAATTCGGCATTCCAGGTTCTTGGGACTAAAAAAACAATATTTCTGGCAAATATGCTATTCTCAAGCTTCAGCAAATTAGTTATAAAAGCAACTACCCCTAAAATCGTACTCGAGTTTATAACGCGGATTAATATAATTTCTATGGGTACCGGAGCTGACAAAATAACTAGGGGACTGGAAGGGCAAGAAGATTCTATAGGGAGCTCCAAATGAAGAAAACCCCAAGCAAACCTTGCTTAGCCATGTCATTGGATAATTCAACTTAGTACTTGAAATTCGGCATTCCAGTTTATTGGCGGGCTAAAATTCATTCGTGAAACATTATTCTACATAGGCACTTGATTTGGCATAATCCCCGCCATAATTTTGTGATTTGCATTTTTCAATCGCTGTGGCTGTTTGGCGGCTCCATATAAATGTCCGCCACATTTTTTACAAGCGTGAACCTCTAAATCTACAGGCTTATCAGAAAGGCGTGTATAACTTTTATGCAATTGTAGAAGATCACGCAGAAGAACTCGGAAGCCGTTCAATATTTCCAAGAGAAAGAAATCCTATTGGAATCAATACCTAACACATGCCCATCATGTGGACAAGAAGTGGCTGTTATTTGGCGGCTCCATATTAATGTCCCGCCAAATTTTTTAAGATTCTAGTCTGATTTTACAGGTGATATGGCTATAAGATTTTAAGTGATAAAATATCATTGGGCAGGAAATGTTGTGTATATAAACACTCCGCCTATGGTTTGCGGAGGTCTTCGGAGTTACCCACAGGTTTTATTATTCGTTTTATATAAGGTATTTCGGATTAAATCGATTATTCGATTCGCTTCAAATATAATATCAGAAGAGAGGGCAGACGGGTCCCAACTTCGGACTTGATCTAGGCTTGGTAAAAATAATAGGTTGAGCAGAGTTTGGTTCAAATAGGATAGTCCGTTCGCCTGATATTCTATTTATCATATTGAAAATTTTGCCCTTTGTGGGGGAGGTACCAGAAGGAGGAGTCCCATTTTCGGGCTTAATCCAGGCTTTATATACATAATATGATGTGCAAAGTTTGATTCAAATCAGATAGTCAGTTCGCATGATATTATAAAAATAATTTTTCGCATAATTTTGACCATTCTGTGAGGGAGGTACCAGAAGGATATTCCCCATCTTCGAATTTGAAGCAAATTTGGAAAAAATATACGAGGTGCAATATTTGGACGAAATCGGTTATTCTCTTCGAGACTTATCGTGCGCAGCAGCCGGGCAAATAAACTCCAAATTGTCTGAAACGGATTTGGCTCAATGATACATTTGGTCTAAAACCAATATTTCTATTCTCATTAGCCACAAAGCTGAGTGTATAACCAGTTAGACAGCAATGGTTTCAAATATTGAAGAGGTGGGTCGATAGGTCTCATTTTAAGGGATAACTCCACACTGGAACATCGGAATCCGAAAATTCTGAGTTTGAGAAGCCCTCTTAACGTCACTTGATGCTTGAGATTTCACTTGAAATTTCAGAGGCACATTCTTGAATTAGTGTAGATTCGAATTAAATCAAAATATAAAATTATTTTTTTTCAAACCGAAAAAGGGGGGTCCTCTTATCAAACAGCCACTCTTATTCCTTATCCAGATCCATCCTAAAATTAACCGAATATTTCCAAAATTTATAGGTGGTCAGTAGCAAGGCTTCTTGTTAAATTTCGTAAAGATTGGTCAAAACGTCAGATCGGGTACCTAGCAAAAACTATCCGATTTTCTTGAGAGTTTTTTCAAACTTTTAATAATTTTTTTTTCTTAAGGGGCGTAGCCGTTTAATTAAATCAAAATATAAAATTAATTTTTTTCAAACCGAGAAAGGGGGGTCCTCTTATCAAACAGCCACTCTTATTCCTTATCCAGATCCATCCTAAATATTAACCGATTGTTTCCAAAATTTATAGGTGGTCAGTAGCAAGGCTTCATGTTAAATTTCGTAAAGATTGGTCAAAACGGCAGTTCGGGTACCTAGCAAAAACTATCCGATTTTCTTGACAATTTTTTCAAACTTTTAATATTTTTTTTTTCTTAAGCCGTTTATCCCTTTACTGGACACGGCAGTTCGGGTACTATGAAACCGATTTATGGGTATAGATTAAAAGCTTATGATAATATATATTCATCATGTGCTGATAGGGTCACACAAAATATAGGTTTCAGTCTCCGATTTTTTTTTTAAATTCTACACAAAAATCTTAATTTAAGGGAACCCCCCCCCCATACTCGATTCTTTATTTTTAAGATTTTAAATGGGCTGGTAAATGAATACCAATGGTTGTTAAGGTTTGTAACTTGGCACATATATATTTGAAGATTTAAAAAGGAAGAAAAATAATTTACCAAAATTTGTTGTTGTTGTTTTGTTGTTGTTTTTTGTGTTCAAAGTAAAGTCCATATTTTCGATGGCGGGCATGATAACTCCTCACTGGAACATCGGAATCCGAAAATTCCAACGGTGCTAGAAAGAGGACATGTCTGGCTCTCGTATGAACTAGGATTATTTACTTCGCACAACAATTAACAAAATGGCGGACCTTTGAAAAAATATTTTTGGAAAATAGCCGATTTTTTACAAAAAACCAAGTTAAAAAATAAGGAAGATCTTCACCGATTGGCTTTATCCTAGTTCATACGAGAGCTACACACTCCCAGCGAAACGTGTCAAAATTTGAAACCGATTGGATTATTAGTTTTTGAGTTATCGTGCCCGCCATTCGCAAAAGAGAAAAACGCGTTTAAAGTTTGAGAAGCCCTTTAGCCGTCACTTGATGCTGACACAATAAATCGGCTATATCTTCAAGAGTTCTTGAGATTTTCACTTGAAATTTTGTAGAGACATTCTTGAATTAGTGTAGAATCGAATTAAATCAAAAAAAATTTTGACCCCGAGAATGGGGGGGGTCCCCTTAAAACAAGTAGTTTTTACTACACAAATCAAAGTGTAGTACACAAAAGGAATTTTGATTTTTTTTCTGTTTCCTTTCTGATAGAGTGTACTCATACTTTTGTGACACACTGTGTCAAATGGAGAATTTAATATGATTTAGTATTTATTTAATACGATTTCTTCTTATTATTATTTTTGCACTATTCTGCTTTTGTCCTCTAATATTCCGACAACGATTACTGTCATTTTTAAAGATTTTTTTATCCCAGTTGACAGTGCGTGACGGAACACTTGTAATCGACAAAATTTTGTTTATTCATTTGAAAAAACATTTGAACCGATTTCAGGAAAAGAATTTTTTTGATTTGTGTGTGGTTAGAATTGAATGAAATACAAAGAATATCTTTCAGATACAAATGCATGGTGTTTTGTTCTATTGTTGTAGTTGTTTTTGCTATATCTCATATCGTATCATCAGCAGCGGCAGTAGCAAACACCGCAGTTAGTCAGTGAGTCCACCAGCCACAAAAAACAACAAAAATACTACTCTTAATTTAATGTCTATCTTAATTATGGATGACTAAGCGTAATGCCGCCACTGTTTGTTGTTTTTGTTGTTATTTCTTCGTTAGATGTTATTTTGTTGTTTTTGTTATTGTTGTGTGTATTCTATGATTTGTTTTTGTTTATTTAATTGAGGTTTTGTTATAAGAGGCCGAACGTTTTTTAAAGGTTAATTTTATTCCTGAACAAGTTTGTTCGCGCTCTCTCCTTCTTTGGGAAATGGAAATTCTAGGAACTAATTTACATTTCCTTCTAGGAAAACAAACTCTTTGGTTTTAAAGTTGTGATGTGTCACATTAAAAAAACACACAATTGTTGGTGTTGGAATTTTCCTCGGAATTCTCACACTTATCAGATTTAAAATTCTGTTCACTCTCGCGTGGGCTTTATTTCTTTCTCTCTCTCTCTCTCTCTCTCTCTCTCTCTTTTGGAATTTTCACACATTTCCTTAAAACACGCCAAGATATTACGACATCGTAACGAGTTACTATTGTTGTAGAGGATGAAGGTGGATGGATGGCTGAATGGTGGTGGTGGCCGAGTTTTTTCCTTTTGGGCCAACAACTTTTGAAGAACAGGAT